AAATGAAAGAAGGGCAAGGAGGGGGTGGAGGGGGGGGGCGTGTTACTTGGACTTTTGCCTTCTGAGCTCCTGCAATATGCCAAAAGAGCAGCAGAAAGCATGTGAACAGAACCAGTGCTCTCATTCATTTTATAGTTCAAGAGTCAGAACAGAGACGTAAAGGTCCACATAGGGCGCGGTCACACTGGCCATCTGTACCGTGCTGTACTCAAACAGATCTCTTTAGTGAATCGCTCAGGGCCGTTTATAGGTCAAAGAAACAACAATGTGAAGTAGGCCGGTATAAACTCAGATGAAAAGCCTTCTGAGTCTGCTGAGGGAAGAATCTGTGTGTTAGTCCGTTTTCGATTTAAAGTTCATCATTTGGCAAACACTGGTCTGGAAATCTGGCTAGAGGTGACCACATCTGAAATGAAAGTCAGCTGTGCTCGTCTTTGACGTCATATATGGTGACCCCACTGAGACTGGTTGGTGAAACATCTGACATCCAACCATGCAGTGACTAACACTGTGGACTGGAATAGTTGGAAGGCTTGTGGTCCAAATACACTGCAAAAAAAAAAGAAAGACATGATAACGTAAAAATTCAATATTCATTCAGTATTATACGTTTATGTCATAATTGAAAGTTTTCCAGCTTTGAGAAGTGATTCATATTCACTTAAAATTTGCGAGCTCTTATTTTCGATTGAGAGGAGTATTCTCTTACCTCGGTGCAGCAGGGGGTTTCGGGGATGTGGATGGAGATGGAGGTGTATCTGTGCTGGGCAGTGAGTCTGAACGTGCTCTTTTTGTAATCTGGAGAGTGGCTGGATTTCCCGTTTTTTCCCGTGAGTGAAGATGCCGTTCTCATGATGCCGAGTCTTTTGGAACAGTGGTTGAAAAAGTCGTTGAGGTCCGCAAAACAATCCTCCATTTTTAGTTTAGTTGCTTTCCTTGCCCCTGGCTCTCACACACCCTGAGACCGGGGGCACTTCGTTTTTCTTTCAGGTTGCTGCACCCACTCTTTTAAGACATTTATGTGTAGTACCCTACTGGAGCGTGAGTGCCCTGGTGTTGATACCTGGTATGTAGTTGGCCCAAGTTTCTTTAGGATTTGGAACAGTCATTTGCCATTTAGCCAACAGTTTGTTGTCATCACCAGGTAGGAGCACAACACTTTATGTCCTGCGTCGAAGGATCTCTGCCTGGCTGACTTGTTGTACCAGGACTTCTGTTGCTGCTGGGCGTCCGCCATGTGCGATTGGGCCAGCTCACCCATTTTCTCCAGCCTCTCAACAGTGCCAACAGCCCCCGAACTTATGTCCATACAAAAGTTCAAAAGGAGAGAAACCAGTGGAAGATTGGGTACTTCTCTGTATGCAAAGAGGGAGGTAGGGCAGCCATTGATCCCAGTCTCTGTACCAGTGTTGTTTACCAACTTCCAGAGTATCTGTTTCAGGGTCTGGTTAAAGCACTCTGTTAGCTCATCCGTTTGAGGAACATATGGTGTAGTCCTGAGTCTCCTGATACCCAGTAAGTGGTACACCTGTTTCAGCAGAGTAGACAAAGTTAGTTCCCTGATCAGTTAATATTTAAGGGAAGCCCACCCTTGAAAAGAACTGTACCAAACAGAAAGCATGGATGGATTTTAGTGGAAAGACTTCTGGATACTTGGTAGCAAAGTCTGTTATAACCAGCATATAATGGTTCTCCTTGACCAACAATGTCCATCCACGGTTCTCAAATGGGGTGCAATTAATGGGTAGTGGTTAAATTTTATTTTAATTATTTTTATTTGAACATATTTTCAGATTTAATATTTCAGTGATTTTTAAATGTTCTATTTTTATGTTTCTTTTCTTTCCTCTGTCATGATGCTTTGTCTGTTTGTGAGAAGCACTTTGAATTGCTTTGTCGTTGAAATGTGCTACAGAAATAAACTTACCTTTGCCTTGCTCTGAAAAATATTGGGTTCATGTGTCCTTCATTCACAATTACACCTGCAGATGGCTAAAGTGAGTAATTAGTGATAACCAACATTACCTTATCTTACAATGATCTACAAAATTAATAGTACAATTAGTATATAAACAGAATTTCTGAATTTTCCCCTGGGATTAATAAAGTTTATTTGATTCTGATTCTGAAATCATGAAACAAGATTTATGTTTGCAAGTGATTTTTTTCTAAAAATAAACTCATGCGACACATTTTGGTGAGTTGCATCACAGGAGTTTCGTTCCCATGACTTCCTTTATAGACCTGATACAAACTATAGTTCCACAGGTAGCAGTATGTAGAGTAGCTCACTAAAGCCTTGAATACATTTTCAATTTTATGGCTGCCAGTAAAACTCAAAAACGTTTTTTCAACCATCAAACAATAACTATAAAATAAAATAATTCTATATATGACAGGGTTTATGGTAGCATGTAAATGTAATGAATGCATGGTGAAAGTTAAAACTCTGACTTGGAAAAAGTTACTGAATTAACGATTCTCTTAGTGTAGACGAAGCGTTGGGCTTAAACATGAACTCAGCCTGAACTGCGAGATGTTTCAATTATGCCTTTCCAATTTCCTCCTCTATGTTGTGATTGTTCTGTCATACTCCACCCTCTCACCGCTGCCGACTGATGACTGAGTCAAGGTTGTTGTTGCTCCACTGTGAAGCCTTTTAATTTCACCGAGTTATTTTTAGAAAACGACAAGAATCTCTCTCTCTGATCAAAAGAGGAAATGGAAGGTCTCACATGTGACACCTCTGAAAAACAAAAAAAGTGCAACACATAGGAAAGAAGTCTAAAGATATCCAACCAAGAGTATGCTTTGTGAATTTATTTTCCAAGTTGTAGACATTTTTTTCTTGATGTTTCCAGAATTCCATCACATTTAATTACTCCCACAAGTCACCTTTAACATGGACAGGTCTTAATGAGACTTAAAACCAAAACCATTTCCTGAGCCTGGAGGCTTTTTTCTTCTCCATCAACCGTTCCCATTGTGACACAGGAGGGAAGCCGTGTCCAATGTGAATTGTACATGGCCAAGCTGTAGACGCTTAATGAAGAATGGGGGAATACCCATAAAAGAAGTGCACTATTACATAAAATCATATGGCATGTATACTTCTCCCATGATCTATTAGAGGGAGATGTAATTGTGTTTTTTGGACAAACAACTAGTCCTGCCTGAACTGAGGAAAAAGACAAGGTGTGTAAAAGAATATGTTCCAGAAATATAACCTTATGTTTTTTATTGTACTTTCTACAAATGTAAGGAAGATATTAGGGGACGGGCTGTGAAAAATATGACAAAAAAAAATGTATCCCCTTGTTTAAAAATGACCAAAGACCCAAGTCAACATGCTGAGAAGTACAACATTCAGTATGAGTGCTAGGCATAACAAAACAATCAAAAGAGAGGACTTTCTTCATCCTTGGATTTTTAAAATACTCCTTTTTTTTCTACTTACATTTTTCTTTACTTTTGTTGGAACATGTTTCTACAGCAAGTTGTACAATTAGAGCAAGACAAGAAATAAATAAAACAAACATAGAACAGGAATAAAAAAGAAAAAAAAAAACGGCCATTGGTTACAGGAGTCCATTATTCGGAGCATATAGATTCAGAGTGTTGAAGTATATGTCAGTCCATCAGCATCAGTTTCTAGTTATTGCCTTATTAGTGGTTATCAATAATATCTTGACTAAGTATCTATCACGTTCAATCACAGAATAAAATACTCCTTTTTTAATTGGATTTTCTCTGTACTTGGCAAAACTGAAAGTTGTTTTCTCTTTTAACTCTGTAGGGTTTATTGTTCACTTTTTAAATGTGTCCTCTGAATGCAAAAAAATAATATGGAATAAATCAAATCTTTCCCCTCTACAGAGCACTCATGATAAAACTTGACTTGCAAAGAAAACTTCTATCGATAAAAACCTGTCTATTTTATGTTTTGTTTTTTTACTGTGGATTGGTTTGCAGGCCCTTTGGCATCAACAAGTTCACAAATATAAGAAAATAAAACAGCTGTTGACTGTGCATCTTTTATTTATTTCATACACTGCGCTTCCTTTTGAGATATTTGTAATACCTGGAGGTCATGATAGCAACGGTTAAAATGTGCAACAGCTTTGGATTGAAGAGTCACTAGGACCACATTGTCTTATGTTGTTTTGTCTCCCCCAAGTGGTAGGAAATGGGCATAACAGTTTCACTAAAATATATTACATGACAGTGTTATTTTACTACAAACTAATGACGAGAAAATAACAAATAAAAAAACGATTTATTGTAATTTCACTTTACCGGTCATAAAAATACAATTTATTTTTCTTTTCCAGGAACAAAATGTTTTCAATCAGATGTTTCCTGGAGGTCACAACAGCATCAGGTTTCCTTGCGCAGCCTCAGTTTTTAGGTCAATGCCTGTGATGACCTCAGCATCAGTCTGTAAGACCAGAAAAACCAGATCTGACGCTTTCCTCCATGCTTCCTGCTTCACACTCAGGTTATCAAAGACCTTTGTTGATGGTGCATCAGTGGATTTTACAGGAAAGGAAACGGCCCTACCCTCTTGTTCAGCTTCTAGAAAAACCTCTGAGAACATGGATGGAGCCCCTGGACTTTGGTTACAGTCCTGCAGTTGCTGGCTCACTGCAGTCCAGGCTTGGACTTTTGAGAACTCTCCAGTGTTAACCATTACAGTGGATAAGTAATCCATTAAACCATCTGCCATGAGATGCAACACCACACTCCTATAAGGGTTAGCTAATGCTGCTCGTTTGGTTTGTTGGGAGGAGTTCCTCTCTGCTCGCTTTTGAAGGTGTTGAATACAAAGCATTTCTGTCACCCCAGCACCGGGCAGGACGGCTTTTTCCTTCAGGGCTAAATGTAAACGATAAGCACACGCCCAGAACTGGTCCTCCAGGGCCTGAAGCTTCCCCTCTATGCAGCTGGTCAGAACCACTGTGACCAGTTTGCTGTTCACACCAGTGGAAACATTCACAGCTATCGACGGCTTCCTCTCGTAGCTGCTGAGATCCCTCCATACCGCTACCTTCACTCCAGTGCCAACACAGTACTTACTCAACTGTGTGGCATACGTCACCGGAACAGCGCCCGATGCATCAGCGAGCGCCTTCAAAATGGAAACGTTTACTTTTTCCAGCGCGAGAATGTGACGCCAAGAACAGCGTTGAATCACTTTCTCGCTCACAAGTCCGCTAACTAGTATCAGGTTCACTTCCAGGTTCAACAGAAGCGTCACAACCTTCTCCATCCAGTCTTCCTCTTTGCTTGAACTTGACAAAGCTGCCTCTTCACTCACACGCTGTATTCCTGTCGGCCTTTTAAAGCCAAGGTGGCTATAGTTAAACGATAAATCTCCGTTAATAAGAACGACCTTCAGAAGTCGGTCTTTTAAGCAATGTGCAAGTGAAGCCTGTTCAGCGGATAAGAGAAGGATGCAGCCCGGTGTAACGCACGCGTGCTCCTCTGGTAAACCAGGTAGCACACAGGTCATGACTTTAGTTATATCAAATGTGGGACAGCTGGTCTCTTGCTGAATGTTGTTTGACTGTGTTCTGCTGGCTTCAAATACTAAATTCATCGCATCCACACAACCATGACTCAATCTCTCAGATATATATTTAATGTCTGGAGGTTTAGGTTGACTATCTTCCGATTCCTTGGAGATATTTTCAGACTTGGCCTCACTAAAGTGTCGGCTGAGCCTGATTTTCCTTTGTCCACAAGCATTTAGAGTCTTAAGAGCGTCTCTTGCTTTCTCCTTCGGTTCAGTCGATGACTGTGAACCCTCCACAGTCGGTTTCTTTGACACCTGAAGTCCTAAATCCTGAGATGATGCTGTGCTGCTCTGTGACTGTGCACGCTCAGTCGAAATGCTGAATCTCCTGCAAACATCGAAGCATACATCGAGCCCTTCGGACATCGCCGAGATGATGTGTGCAACAGAAATCCCTCTCTGAAGGCACTCCAGGGCAACACGACTCCACGCTCCGGCGAGGAACAGCAGGCATCCTGATCCTGTATGGTAGACCTTCTGGTGGGTTTGAACGGTCCGGTAGACCAGCTGACCCACCGCGCACGTCAGCTCCAGATTCTCAAGGATGCGAAAACACGAGCACACAAGAGCCGACTCTCCGCTCCTATCATCTTGGATAAACTTGTACTTCTTATTTGGGCCCAAAGAGGAATGTGTGATCCCCGCCAACGCTGAGAGCTTCTGCAGTCCAACATGTTGTCGATGGTTAATAATCGTACTTCCCAGCATTGCTTGAGTTGTCTAAATTGTAAAAGGAAAGGGAAAGATTTACATTTGTGAAACTTTTATCGGAATCAGATTAGGGCTGGGCGATATGGACCAAAACTCATATCTTGATATTGATTAGCTGAATGGCGATACTCGATATATATCTATATGTATTTTATTAACAGTGAAAACACATTAAAAACCTGTTTGTGTATTTAAAAATTAATATTATAAAATAAAAATGTTCCTTAAATACAATAAAAGAGAGAGAGAGAGGAGGAGCAGGGTGAAGAGGGACAGACAGTCAGTCATCATCAGTGAGATGAGAAAAAGGTGACCTGGCACCTCTGTAACGTTATTTTAATGCAACATAAACTATATCCATATTAACGACATCGTCTTACCCTATATCTTGTTTGAAAATATATCGATATATCTTTAAAAACTCGATATATTACCCAGCCCTAGAATCAGATATACTTTATTAATCTCCAGGGCAAAATGTTGTTGTTACAGTTGTTCTTACGCACATATAGTAGTAGAAATACAGGAATATAAATATAAATATGAATAAAATAAGACATGAGATAGAGATAAAGCAATAAGCACTTTAACTTATGTCAATACTGTCCATTTACAACTCTGTTTTTGCACATTTACATTTCATCTTTCATATTTAAGACGAGTAATGCTTAGTTAAATCCTGGTTGTATATATTCACATTCTTAATTTTGATATTTTTAGTGCTTATTTACTTTGTATTTAATATTATATTGTGTTTAGATTTGCACATATTGTGTGTTTGGATAACCTGCTGCTGTAACGCCACAATTTCCCAGTTTGGGATCAATAAAGTGATTCTATTCTGTTCTATATAGTAGTAGAAATATAGGAATATACAGGATGTTGTGCCAGGTCACAACATCACCACCTCATGCTACACACTGTGTGTGTTTTTTTAAGAACAAGTTACTGTGTAATTTTACATTAGTGCATTTTTTTTATTTAAATGATGTAAATATGTTTAATCTGTTTTTAACTTCTATTTTTATTCTTAATAATTATATTCCCGTCCCCTGTTTTCTGGAGCTGCTGTAATGCACAAATTTCCCCCACGGGGATCAATAAAGTTTATCTTTATCTTTATCTTTATCTTTATACCAAGCACATGTTACTTAGTAAACACCAACACATATTGGTTGTCAGTAACTCCCACAAACAATTAATATTATTGCAAAGAAAATGACAAAGGTGTCAAGCTTAAATCATCCAAAGCTGCACACTGACAGAATCCCTTCTGTTGAATTAACACTGTAACTTTTAATACTTTATGTGGACAATCTGGTATTTTAAATGGGTTATCTATTTATTTGTTTTATTAATTATGCTTCAGCAAGGATTTGAATTAATGTGATAAATGTGTTACACAGTGTGGTAGAGTATTGCTTTAGTTGTTTTAACCTGAGGGATGTTTATATTTATTCCACCACTGGTAACATAGTAAGACATCATTTTATTAACCTGTACAGTTTGCTAAAACTTCACAATAATAAAAGTCAAACCAGTTTAACATCAAGAGCATTAAAGGCTAAGCTAACGACGTTTTAACAAAGAAAAGCTGCAATTCTGGATTAAACCTGTAAATAACGAAGTTAAAGTTCACTTAAAATGCAGGAGTGTCACAAAAGGAAATCCTGCACAACCAAATGTCCATGAATAAGGAGAAAAACAATACCTTATTTCACCTTAAACATAACAGTCTGCGTTCTCCAACTACCCAAGCACGAATGTGAAGAAACCGCGCATGCGCAGTGTTTTCTGGTTGCTTGGTAACGAGAAACGAGTTCGATCATTGGCTTTCACGATTAAAGCCCGCCCTTTTTTTTGTCTTCTAATTGGCTTATATCCCCGCATCACGGCGCTTTCATTGTTTCTATTGGCTGACTGAAATGTCACTCGAAGTAAAAAAAAAAATAATAATTCAGCCGTTTCTGTTTTGTTGACATCTCAGTACGTTACCAACCGTTGAAGTTTTGGTCTGTTTTAATGGTAAGCTTTCACTATTTTCTTTTTAAATGAACGCACAGTGTAATAACTGATTAAGAAGTTTTAGGATTTGTCGTGTAAAGATGAAAAATAGCTTTTAAAAGCTTTTTAAAGCGTGTTTTCAACGTGGGTCTTGTGTAGCAGCATGTTAGCTCAAGTTAGCTAGCCTGTTCTTAAACCACGTTTAAAGATTATTTCCGGGGTTTATTTTATTTTTTTTAAACACTTCTTTAATTGTGCTTTTTAAGGCCTCAGGTTATCGAAAAGCAGCTTCCTCAGCGAGCCAGAGGAAGAAGGCAGGTGTGAAGATCGACCTCACTGAGGAGCAGAAGCAGGAGATCAAGGAGGCTTTCGACCTGTTCGACACAGAGGGGTCTGGATCTATAGACGTGAAGGAGCTCAAGGTTTGTTTAGGCTTCAGCATGCTGATGTGTGTGCAGATGTTTCAGCATGCTGATGTGTGCAGATGTTTCAGCATGCTGATGTTTGTGCAGATGTTTCAGCATGCTGATGTGTGCAGATGTTTCAGCATGCTGATGTGTGCAGATGTTTCAGCATGCTGATGTGTGCAGATGTTTCAGCATGCTGATGTGTGTGCAGGTGTTTCAGCATGCTGATGTGTGTGCAGATGTTTCAGCATGCTGATGTGTGTGCAGATGTTTCAGCATGCTGATGTGTGCAGATGTTTCAGCATGCTGATGTGTGTGCAGATGTTTCAGCATGCTGATGTGTGTGCAGATGTTTCAGCATGCTGATGTGTGCAGATGTTTCAGCATGCTGATGTGTGTGCAGATGTTTCAGCATGCTGATGTGTGTGCAGATGTTTCAGCATGCAGATGTTTGTGCAGATGTTTCAGCATGCTGATGTGTGTGCAGATGTTTCAGCATGCTGATGTGTGTGCGGATGTTTCAGCATGCTGATGTTTGTGCAGATGTTTCAGCATGCAGATGTTTGTGCAGATGTTTCAGCATGCTGATGTGTGTGCAGATGTTTCAGCATGCTGATGTTTGTACAGATGTTTCAGCATGCTGATGTTTGTGCAGATGTTTCAGCATGCTGATGTGTGTGCAGATGTTTCAGCATGCTGATGTGTGCAGATGTTTCAGCATGCTGATGTGTGTGCAGATGTTTCAGCATGCTGATGTGTGTGCAGATGTTTCAGCATGCAGATGTTTGTGCAGATGTTTCAGCATGCAGATGTTTGTGCAGATGTTTCAGCAGATAACAGTGTTTCTGTGCCACAGGTTGCCATGAGAGCTCTCGGCTTTGAACCAAAGAAAGAAGAAATCAAGAAAATGATCTCAGACATCGATAAAGAAGGATCCGGAACAATTGACTTCAGTGCCTTTCTCAGTATGATGACACTGAAAATGGTGAGTGCGCTGCAGCTTTCTGACAAAACCGGCACGCTTCTCAGAAAGTGAAATATTGTCCCAGGAGACTTTTTAACAAATAATAATAAAAATACCTTTATTTCATTTTAATTTAACCTTTATTTAGTCTCGAGAAATCATTGAGGGTAAGCACTCGTTTACAGTTAAGATTAAGATTTACTTTTATTGATTTTATTGACCAAATTTCAGTTTTTACACTCTGTTAGTCATGAACCCACACATGCACACATGCACACAAACAGGATCATATGGACATGCACTGATGGAGAGATGTCAGAGTGACGGAGCGGCCCACAGCGGGCGCTCCTGAGCTGGTGGTGGGGAGGGCGTTCGGTGCCTTGCTCAGGGGCACCTCGGCAGTGCTCAGGAGGTGCTCTGACACCTCTCCAGCTACCAGACTAACTTCCATATTTGTTCCACAACGGGACTTGAACCGGCGACCCTCCGGTTCTCAACCCAAGTCCCCACAGACTGAGCTATTGCCGCCCGCAATGACGTCGAGAGTACAATTAAAACGAATAAGAGACAAAAAAAAAAAGGCAAAATACATAGATTATAAGAGCAGAAGAATAAGCAGGTAACTACAGTTAATAACATTTACTCTCATGAGTACAGTGAGCTGTGATCAAGTTTTTAAATTGACCCATGGCAACTATTGTATTGAGTTTGAATGTGTTTCGTATTGTGTTCCAGGTGTGTGCAGCACAACAGGTGAAGGATGTTTTCCCAAAGTTTGTTTTTTACATGTGGAACCGTTAACATTAGCCAGTCACTTGATCGAGTCTGATACTGATTATCAGCCCAGATTAATAAAGAAGTGATGTATGCTGGTAGATTACCCGCAAGTGATTTATAAATAAATATTTCTATAGCACCTTTTAAAAACACAGGTTTACAAAGTGCTTTGACAAACAGCAAAAACAAGAACAAACTAAACCAAACACAGAAGAACATAAACAACAGCAAGAACATAACAAATGCAAAATACTCAAAATAATTAAATACAATTCAACAGAAAAGAACCCAAAGTGCGCAATCCATTTTTGTTGCCAGTTACTATTAAAGCTGTGAAAAGTTTCATGTTTGAACAAGTACTTATAGCACGCATCCCATTTTTAACAGTCACAGAAAATGAATTTATTTTTGGTTATTAATAATAATAATAATAATAATAATAATACATTTTATTTATAAGCGCTTTTCAAAGACTCTGTACAATTATTAAAAAGCAGAAAGAACAGCACAGTAAGGACAGACTAACAGGCATGGCAACGTTACACACAAATGATAAAGATAACAACAATAAAGGTAAAACTAGAGAGATAGATACTTTATTGATCCCGAGGGAAATTCAAAGCATCCAGTAGCAGGTTACAAAGACGTACATGACATGAAACATTTGTTACAGTGTACATATATATTAACCCGAAAAAAGATTTAAAGAATACCCCTAGATGAATCAAACTTAAACTGTGCAATTAAAAATAGACTTATACAAGAAATGTACATAACCTGTGCAGGGATAAAAATATATGTGTAATTTAAACAAGAACCTAAAAACAGTTGAGGAAAAAAATCTGTAATTAGACCTGAATATAAAAAAATAAAGAAGTGTTGACCTTCCGAAGTTGTGATTTATATATGTACAGCAATGTTTAAAAAGCGGTTAGTGCAAAATATGTAGCCTACAGAAAACAGAAAATACATCACAGTCATACATTAAAAGCTTAGGGTGTAAAAGGTAGATAAACAGAGTATGTAATGTGGCGCAGATGGTCTAGCGGTTAAGTCAGCCTCCGAGCGGTCGGCCCATTGGATTGGACTTGGAAAATCTTTATTGTACCCGAGGGGCAAAGACATTAATACATAAAACATAACTAACATGGATATTATCATGATGAAATAAGAGACACAAAGACCAACAGTACATAGTAAAAGTGAACAGGCAGCTTATTTACAAACTCAACTGCTGATGGGACAAAAGACCTCAGGTCATGTTCAAGTCCAACCTGTGGCTCCTTTCCCGCATATAAGTCCCCACTTCTTACTTTATCCACTTTCATATTATGTTAAATAAATACACAAAAGTCCACAAAATAATCAAAACAAAAAGTTTATAATAATCCTGAAGTGAAGTGGGTCATTTGTCAGGATGTAACGATACACTTAACCCAGGAGGATGCGTATCACAGTTCTGGGTTAATGAGTACAGTTTTTTAAATTTCTATAAAGACATCAGATTAAATCCACTTTATGAATAAATGTGATTCTTTTATTTCAATTCTATGACAATACATATGCAAAATCCTTATTTTTCTACTTATCTACTTATAATACTTTTTAATTCTAAGGTTGTATAGTAATTAAAAGTGACTATATCTAAGAAGAATACGTCTCTGAAACTTTAGTTTCAAATAAGATAATTCTACTCTGGAGACTTGTACATGATGTTATATGCTTTCATCAAATCCATTAAAATTGTCATTGTTTGTGTTGATGTTTAATTTTGTTTCAAGCTATGGTAAAATCCCCTTTCGGTCATAATGAGATTGTCATGTTGTCCTTTTTTTTTTAACAGGGGGAAAAGGATTCCAAAGAAGAGATCTTGAAAGCTTTTCGGCTGTTTGATGATGACGGCACTGGAAAAATCTCGTTCAAAAATCTGAAGAGAGTGGCTAAAGAGCTGGGGGAAAGCCTGACGGATGAAGAACTACAGGTACAGGAGTGTTTGACGACACGCAGTGTTTCCTATCTGATGTTTTCAATCGAGAAATGATTTATAGCAGTGGAGAAAGGTACATCATAACCTGTTTTTCTGAGGAGAGGAGGGCGGACTTCCTGGGTTGTTTGTATTTCTCTAAATCTATCAAATCGTCTGAGGTGACACGGCAGCGATGATGGTGTTCTTTAAAATAATCAGTGGAGGGAACATTTGGGCATGATGAGGCGCTTCCTAAAGTTGAAATGTCGTCTGCTGTTGTGAGTAACCCAGAGGTTTTTATTTCATCAAAATAAGTACAGACAACACATGATACTCACCTTTCAGACGCTGGAATCAGACAATAAGGTGTCATTTTTTCCTTTTATTTCCACAATAGTTGGATTGACAAGTACTCAAAAACACATCTTTATTTCTTCTAATAAACTGCTCTCCTCTCTCACCTTGTTCCTCTTGCTGTGTGTTATCATGTTCTCACGTGTGGTTTTACAAACATCTCATGGTTGGTTATTTCAAAGGAACTTGGGCTCTGTGCGACAGATGTTATCTTCCACTCTCTGTATTGTAGTCATTAGCTTTTTCAATAAACCGATTTGAACTTTTTCTTCTCCTTTTTTAGGAAATGATTGACGAGGCGGACCGAGACGGTGACGGTGAGGTGAGCGAGCAGGAGTTCTTGACGATAATGAAGAAGACCAAACTTTACTGAGCCTGTCGATTGTGCCTTCTTCTTCTTCTTCTTCCTCTTGGACCTTTTGTTTTTTTTTTGAGATTGACTTTCCATTGGACAATGTCTACAGTAGCATTTCTACCACTTCGTGTGTAAATAACTTTTTAAAACATGCTGTTCATCTTTGCACAGATTTTTCTACACTGCAAGTCTAATAAATATATTTCAGCACAGTTGACTTGTCTGTTACTTCTACACATAGATGCAGTCCTCCTCTTGTGCTCAGAACCTTTATTATAAACATAACGAGGTGTTCTTCTGTAGAGATTGAACAGACATGGGAAGAGAATGGTGATGCATGAAGAGATGATGATTTACTCCCCGTGTCCACTTAGTGTTTTTTAAGCGCTGGGAGTGTTTGCATGAAGCGTTTGTGCGCTGAGAAGAAAAGCTCTGCATGTCCATCCTGTCTCCATGACAACTGTCGCTGTATGACCGACACGGCTCTGTTACTTTTTACTGCATGTTTTATATTTGAGATCTTTTTTTACCCGATCAGATTCAGAGCAAAGAGGATGTGGATACAAGACGGCTAAAGTAAAGGGAATATCAAACATTTGCAAAAGAGCGCCGGTGACTTCTACAGCCCCTTTCTGAAAAGTTGAACATTTTTTAACTTGAGCGCTCAGAAGAAAAGACGCTGCGCTTTCTGCTGGGAACGCTCTCTACTGATTGAAAACAATTGAAAAAAGATGCTGGCGCTCAGAAAAAAACGCTAGCTTGACACGGCGCCTTAAAAAACATTTGATTGAAGTGGTCTGTTGTTCAAAATGAAAATGCACTCGTGTCTGTTCGTTACAGCAGCTTGTTTTCTTTTAAAACACATAATTACAAAACACAAGTAAATCAGTTCAAAGGAAAACATGCACATTTATTTATTTAAAAAAAACTTAAATAATACTTTAAAAACAAATCTTCAAGACAAGTATGAAATGGTAGAATAGTATTAATATCAGTATTAAATACAAATAATTAAAGGGAGTACATTACCAAATATTCTGCACAAAAACAATTCTACAAAAACTTCCACAAATTAGAGATTCACCAGCTGAACTTAAAACATGACAGTCTCATTAGTCATCATTAGTCTATTTGATCACTTTTCCAAAAGACGAGACATTTCATGAAACCACCGTGTGATGCTCAGTCTACCACTGTGTTTCCATGTCGATGTTATCGTTCTTTTAACCTGCAACATGCAGAGCTCTACAAAGAGCTGATCTCTGCGTTTCACATCCATCCAACCTTTAGGGTACACACCAAGAAGAAAACAACTTTCCTTCTACACTTACCTGCTTTACACGCCCGACTTCATCCCAAAATTCTTTCATTTTTGAACATTTCCATAAGCAATGGTAAAATGTACCTTTTGTCATCTTTTTGTTTTCTGCACCAGTTTGTCATTCTCTACAAAATAAAAGACCTAACTGAGGATAGTTCATCTGGAAATTCACAAGTTGAGATCAGAGATGTCAAAAGTATTGACATTCATTACTCAGGTAGAAGTTTAGATACTAGGGTTTAAAAAGACTTCTGTAGAAGCTGAAGTATCAACTCAAGCTTTTTACTCAAGTAAAAGTGTAAAAGTGTAAAAGTTTCAAAACTACTTCAAGTATAAAAGTAAAAGTAATGTAAGGGGAAAAAAATGCCATTAAGGACAAAAGCTTAGGCCGCACCACAGCGTGTTGGAATGGTTTATGTTTATACTTCTCATCCAACCACAATCAAATTCGAAATGAAATAGGAGTAACGAGGCTATTTTTAAAATGTAAGGAGTAGAAGTCAAAATTCAGCTGAAAAATAATTACTCCATTAAAGTATAGATACACAAAATTTCTACTTAAGTAAGGTAACAAAGTATTTGTACTTAGTTACTTGACACCTCTGGTTAGGAGACATTTCTAATATAATAAAAACAAAAAAAAAAAGATTCACAGATTTGCAAACAAAATAACAATTTTAAAACCAAAGAGAAACTTCTTTTTTCTCTGTGATCTTTAATGTTTTTCTCGAGCTGTATACCTTGTGTTCTCAGTGCCAGCATTATCTTTAAATTGCAGACAGAAACACGGTGTGTCAAACAATAAAAGTCATATGACTAAGTTATCCAGAATGATGAGACTGAAGACGAGAATGACAAGAGAGACGAGGCCAGTGACTCAGAGTCACTCTCACTGAACCAAACCATCGTCTGTATCAGAGGCTCTATCATTACCCACACATTAGAGGAAAGATGCTCCTGATTAAGTCTAATGTGCAGCGGGTGTCTGACCAAAACACCGAACTTTGTTCAAAGAAACAGGATATAGTAATGACGTGTTTTTCCGAGCCGTCAGACGGAGGCTTATTATTTTCTCTTTTCGACGATGCTTGCAACCGGTTGTGAAAGTTCTGAAAAGCTTTTTGAGACTCGAAGGAACATCAGGTGGAAAATACGAAAAAAGTTTTGTCTCAAGAAGAAGAAGAGGGATGTATTTTCTGAAGAATATTCCACTAATGAAATGATTGATGGTATAAAAACATCCAGACTTCACTTTAGATCCTTGTTGATGATTTATTTATTTTACAAGGTAGACGATGCTTACAGAACGTGTGACACATGACATTATCCTGATTCAGTCTCTAAGAATCGGGCTCTTTTGTCACAAGAGACATACGAGAAAAACAACCCCAAAAACTAAAGGACAAAGATTTCAAAGTCAGTTTCAAATCAAATGTCAGAATAATTCAATTATCGATGAAGAACCGCAGATAACAGAGCTTCAATATGGACGTATATTTGAGCATTTTGTAGTTCATTTTATGTTAAAAGTGCGTACAGTCTCGACCTAGTTTTACATAAAATGATCAAGGAATCGATCTTTTGATCGATCTGTAAACTGGGACAGAACAAACACTATGATCCATGACCCTGTGACTTGATCAGCGAGCCAAGACGTTGAATTTAAAAAGGATTCATTTTTATTTTGCCGAGCTAAAACTTTGAAATCGAAAAAGATGAGCCAAATGTGAAGTCCACTTCTGAATACTACCCCTCATGACTCAAATCTATCGCCACCTTCTTACAGTTCAAATACAGGTGAGAGGATGATGTCCTGATATTATGGACCATTGTCTTCTTTTCACACTGCTCTGGAGGGAGACTCATTTATTCAGCTTCTCAGCCCCTGAAGGTTTCAAAAAGGAAAAAAAAACGATGAAGCACTTGTTACTTAGCTACGTTACAAAGAGCTTCATAAAGGAGGGAAATTAATAAATCAAAAGACAAAGAAGATCAAATGGTCAAATACAGGATCTCAGAGGACGCAAAGACAAGAATACAAATAAGATTTTTTTTAAATGGCAACTAAAAACGATGTTGAACATATCCAGTAGCAAAAGCACCATCATTAAAACATTTTTTCCTACTAAATATTTGACATTTTGACCGTCATTTTAAGAGGAGAAATCAGCTTCTTATTATCTCCCTGTTAACACCTATTAAAGTCAGGGTTGGTAATTTCCTCCAGATCCACTTTAGGTCCTGACAGAAATTAAGAACTCATGTTCTCTGAAAAAGGAAACAAAGAAAATCCGTCATCTGTATCAGTTTGTAAGTCTGTAAAAACTTCAACCAATGTCTGCCACGAGGTACCAATCTGATGAACCAATCAGACGCCTCCCTGTCTCCCTGCTCGCTCTCTACCTCTTACGTGCTCTAGTTCACACTCAAAGCTTGTCACCGATGACTTTAGGAGTTTACTTACCGCTGAATGAGACATGAGACGACGTAGTTTCTACATAATGTAAGAGATGAGCTGCTGAGGTCCGCTTCTGGAGGGACGGCGCTCGTTCATGTGGCGTGCAGACGGAGCACTGAGGGAATGCTACTTTCAAAATCATGCTAGTTTTTGAAAATGACCAACCCTGCCTTTAATAATTACATGAAAGTTTCTTGCAGTGGGCACTTCATAAACATAATCTGTCCTCCCTGTTTCATCATCATTACAGCTGCTAACATTAATATTATAATACTGATCAGCCTATTATCATACTTAGCCGTTACTGCTAATGCTACTCATACTTTTACCATTCTTACCGACATTATAGCTAAAACTGTCTCATCCATTGTTGTTGCTCTGTTTGTCTCTATCCTTCTCGTTCTGTCTGCATCTCCCTCTATCTCACTCTCCAAGCCCAACACAGCTTTTGAAGATGTTTGCTCAATGTTTCTGAGTGCTCGTGATGGATTAACGTTGAGTCTTTATAGATAACATAACAAACAGTAAGGTCTTTTACCTGCTTTTTGTGAAGTGTCTTGAGATAAACTTTGTTATGAATTTGCGCTAAACAAATATTGATTGATTGTGAAATCTACCGGTTTCAAAAAATGTGTTGCACAAAAAAAAAACCATTTTGAGGTTCATCATTCAAAAATCTGAATTGTTTAAAGGCTTTACATTTTACACTTAAATGTAGAAATCAAGTATATCCTCTGAAAATAACTCATGACTGTCTACAATGGGTGTAACACCCGAGTCCCACTGTCTGTGATGTTTTCAGAGTTTTCAGAGTCCTATCTTCAGTTTGTTTACATCGCCCGGCCGGCCGGCTGACTCCTCCCCTCGAGTATAAAAGTTGTTTAATTGAGGGACTAGAGAAAAGAAGAATAACATACTGTACTCACTGCATTAGCATGAACACAACAATGCACCGACTATAAAACCTTTAAGGGCTTCTCTTTCAAAATCTTTATTTATTTTTTGTACAATAAAGCAAATTAGCTTCCCCCGATTACAGAAGCAACAACATGGAAAATGTATAAAGCAGAGGGTGCACAGAGCCGTACTGTGGGAGAGTAGGTTGTTTGACGTTTGATTTAAGAACAAAAACTTTCCAATAGCAGTTTGATGTTTTTCTTCAGCTGTAGTTTCAGGGCCTTTAATATCTTCACAGCCCCTCAGCTGGCTGTTATTCCCCTCACTGTTGTGGTTTTAACAGCATTCTGCAGTCTGTGCAGTACTCCCACTGCTCTGCTGCTGCCGCCGCTGCTCTCTTCCCATAAAATGATCAATTTCCAAAACAACCCATGCGCTGCTGGTAAAAAGACAATTTTAGTATTAACCCTTAAAGGTCGAGGATGCGTCACAGTTGTGTAAGCACACTTTAGTTTCTCAAGCCCCCTTTTTCTGAG